GGGAGGAGGGGGAGAAGAAGAAGACGAAGAAGTAACACGCCAAGAGAGGACCGGCACGAATGGCACCACTCCGCAGCTGAGCTACTACTGGATCCAGAGATGCGCCCCTTGCCAGGCGTGCTGGTACGACGGCTTTTCCTTGTGAAAGTGCCCGGCTGTCCGTGCGTATACGTGTATCCACGGTACAACAGCTTGTCGGTCGGTGCTCTTCTCTCCGTCAGATTCCTCCCTCGACGCACTCCCTCTCTCTCTCGATCCTCTCTATCCTCTACTCCTCGGGCAGTCCTCTCTCGCTCACGGAGGGTCCTCGTTACCGCGCGCGCCACTAACGGAGCCGACACTAGCGCCACACCGCGATTACTCCCGGAACCACTGGGCAACGTCGACCGGTCACGAGGCACTAGATCGACAGATGGCGAGTCCTCCGATTGGAACGAACTTCGAAACGTCGGTTATCCTGCGAACCTTCCAACAGTTCCGACCGAGACGTATCCCCGGCTATGTTGTCCTGATGCTTTCTATCCTGCTCTGGACCACGACGGAGCTCTGTCGCGCACCGGTGCGTCCAACCTCGAATCCTCCGTCTACTGATACGACAGGAGAGAAAAGGAACGTTTGAAAAACTGTGTTACGATTCGGCTACACGCGTGCGCTAGAACGTTTGGATGGGACGCGTCTGTGTCCGAGCGTCTACACCACGGCGTGCAACCCTCGACTGGAGGTAGTAAGCCGGGAGCACCCCTACTTATAATTGTGGTCCCGCCGGGCCCCCGGCGAGAGGGGTTGCCGACCGAGAGGGGTGGTGGGTAGCGGCTGCGCCGGTGGCTCGCGACGTGATCGCCGAGGGAGGGGCACGGGACGGGGAACGAGGCAGCTGCAGGCCGGCTGCACGCGCCCACCCCCACCACCGTAGCCCCTGTACGACACCCCAGCCACTCGTGCGGACTTCTTGCCTGCCTGCTCGCCTGTCGTAGACTCCTCGGGGCGCCTGTCTTCTTCCTTTCTCTCTTCTCTCTATCTTGCCGTCCGTCTTCCTCGCTCGCCGAACTTCTTCGTCGGTCCTCGTCCCTCCGCCGAAGCTTTTCTGCCCCCTCTCGCCGCCGGGCCCCTGCGCTGCCGCAGAGGCCAGGTTGCACCGGTTACACTCCCCTGCTCTGGTCTGTTGTCTCTGTTCCCCACGGGGCCACGATAAACCCGCGTACCCCATCCGACGGCACGCGCCGCGGCGTGCCACCTCTTCGTGACGTCATACCCTTCTTTTTAAGCGTATTACGCTTCTTACGGGCCGCGATACACCGCCGCCACCCGTTCGCTGAACGGGTGAACTGCTGCCTCGGACCGGCCCGGCCCGGCCCGGCCCGGCCCGGCTCGCTCGAGTTTCCTCCGTCCCGCCGCTGCCTCTCCTCTGATCATTTGATTACTGTCACGCCGCAGTTGGTTAGACCCCGATTATCCTGGAAATTGCTTTATGACCGGGGACTCCGGAGCTGCGAGCCGGAGCCGGTCATCCGTTTCTGGAGTGCTGCAGGTTATTCGAGCCGGGAGTCGAGGAGCGAGAGATAGTCTTGTGCTCTGCGCACGAAAAGGGACTATTGCGTCGAACATGCGGGCCTGTAGGGCTCGCGAGAACCTTCGCACGGCCCTGACAGTCGCTCTCTCGCGGAGAAATGAGATTTCTCCGTGAAAGTGCTACGTGCGCACCTTTTCGGCGAGGCGACGAGTATCTTGATAGAGCTGATGGACCGACTGATTTAGGGTAGATGCACGATTCGAGGTGTCCTATCAGACTACAGAACTCTGGAACCATAGAATTATGAAATTATACAAGTATACAATAAATACAAAACTTGGAACACAAAAGAAATATGATTCATTTACCCTGCGCGACGCATCTCGCCGGAACTCCTCGTCCATCGCGAGAAACGATCGGTCCGCGAGGTTCCTACGTGCGACCCCCAGCAACCAGAGCTCTACCCACCCTACCCGGTCCCTTTCAACGAGCGCGCAACGCGCGAAAGTCTCCGGGGCCGTTCCCTTACGTCACTCGCTGCGAAAACACGTCGCTGCACCCCATCCCCCAGGCCCGACCCCTGCTCGCAACGAGGACGCGTAAGTACACACGGGGCGACGGATTACCGCGGAGCGCATACTGCTCCTCGCGAGCCATTGTGCTCGAAACATAATGCCCTGGACCTGTCTCGGCCACGCATCCGCGTCCCCATCTCTTCCAGCGCCATTGTTCCCCGGCGCGAATCGCATTTTTCCCTACCCTTTATTTTGCTTTCGCAGCCTGTCCCGCAAAGTGTCGAAGCCAATGGCGCTCGTAAATCCAGCGTTACGACCCCGTTGCTCGACTATTAACCAACGCTAACTCGGCGTCGTCTCGGCCAGAAAATTGTTTTTTAAGTACACCTCGTAGATATTCGAGGTTCCCTCGGTGATGTCTTGACTCTGATTTCATGCAGCTTGCAGCTTCTGTATGACAGTTCGTTGTTTACTTGTAGCTCATCTACATACAGGGTGCGCCAATGCAATTTTCTTGAAGCTTCGTGAAAGTATTCCGCGTGAACCATATTCGTTGACCTTGAAGTACGTTCTCGAGTTCGCGTAACCAATGTCCTGTGAAACAGTGTCGCACGCTAGAAATCAAACGTAGTTTTCAACAATGGAATCGTACTTCCGCGAAGAAACTTTCGAAAAGGCGTATCTCCAACCTGTTCGTTGCAGTAATAACGATTGCAGTAAAACCGATGCAATTTCCAAGGATATTGCGGTCGAGGGAAGGAAGAAGGGTCCAAGGGCGGAGGAGGGAGGCAAATCATGGCCACGTAATCAAGTAAACAGGCCGACAAGGAGCCATGATAAGGTGTCACGGGGCAGAAAGAAGCCTTTGTTGTTTTGGTGGCGTGCACCGCAGGGCCGGGGGACGACGAGCGCACGGTGCCCGTAGGTGTATGGTATACTTCCGGTCACGAGGTGGTTCAACAGGTCAGACCAACGGGGGAGCCAGATGGAACCACTTCCGGCCCCGCTTCTACCGCCGCGCGCTGCCGCTAGTTCCTCCTTTTTCATCCTTTTCCTCCTTTTACCCGCTTCACGCACTCGCCGCGTCTCGATCCCCCGATCGCACTTGTACTGGGTGTCCGTGAATGATCGATGGTACGCTTTCCATTCTTCCCATTCAAACACCACGCATCAAAATAACTGCTGTTCAGTTGCCAGTGGCGTTGTTCGAGTGGCAACCTCTCAAAGTTTTACGAATGTTCGATCTTTCAGGTTCGCTGTATGCTGACCTTGCTCTGCAACAGTTCAAAGGATATAGAAAATAAAGAGCAGACCTTTTTCCAGAGATTTCAATTGTCTTATCAATTTAGGTATTACTAAATCTTCCGCAATAATTTCTAAAACAGGTATCTCTTTCCAATAATACTAAAGGAAAAAATTGGGTTCATTCTGCCTCATCTGGTAAACACTTAGATTTCTCAGTTGAAAATTTTCGTCACGAGTCTGACACAAGATTTGATATTCAACATTGAACTCTGTACAATGCATCGGTGAAATATTCAGATAAAAAAGCTTCGTTTCTCCCTTCACTTGCCATTTCTCTTCGAGTTAATTTCAAAAAATATCGTCTGTGTCTAGTTAGAAAATGTTAAGTATCTCTAACGAAATATTTCCGAGTGCAAAGGGTCAACATTAGGTTAAGGGGTTGAACAACTGATCCTTTCGGCACATACGCGGCTCGCTACCGTCCAAAAAATCACGCAGCCAACAGATCCAGCGGACGCACGATCCGAAATCGGTCGCAGACCGTTTCTCGCGGCAGTTCCCGGGGGCGAGCGCGTCGACTCGCCGGTCGCGGGTAGCAGGAACGAACACGTGAATCCGTCACGCGACCTCCCTTCGTTCCTTTCTTCGTTCGTCGGTGTTTCATTCATACGTAGCACCGCGGCCTGTGTAGAGGACGAGCCACCGCAACGCGCCGGTTACGCGTGTATACGCGGACCAGGGCCGAGAGACCGTAACGTGCGCGCCGGCACATGCGCTCGTTGCGCTGGTTACGGCGCACTTAGGAGCCGCGACTCAATGAACTGCCGACTGGTTCAGGTAGCACAAGTGCGGGAGAGAGTCTAGCTCGATGCACCGTGCTGCGCGTCGCATTCTCTCCGTTGCGAAGCTGCTCGAATCCTCTGTGCAACACGTGCATTCTGTACGGTAACGGCTGCGATGTCTCAGGGTCGTTTCAGAATTTATCGTTGAAGATAGGATTTCTGTATCTTCGGTGTACGGATTGACAGATAATAGAGATGATACTTAATAGTTCTATGTAATAGTTAGAAATGCCACTGAATTTCTCCGCATTCAAATTAACTCTTTGCACTCCGAAGTTTTTCACTAGAAATATTTCAACATTTTCCGATGAGATGAAGACGATATTTTATAATACGGATTGGCAGATAACAGAGATAATACTTAATTTGAATGCGAAGAAACTCAGTGGCATTTCTAACTATTAGACAGAACTATTAACACTAGGTTTACGGTCATTTATTGTACACTTCTATTATTCCTAAAAGAATCGATGCTCGTTTATTTAGATTGTGGAAACTGGAGATTCGATAGTAGGTAATTGAGGTACATGCCAATGTGATCGCATCAATCAAAATCGGCGTAAACATTTACAGAATAATATTTCTAAAATCCGATATGCGTCAGTTTCACGCGTTCCGTAAACCTAGTGTTAATTTTATTCACCACTTTGAGTGCAAAATCAAATAGACGAACGAGATGCCGATACACTGACGCGTGACTTCAAAGTTACACGGGCCTACAGAGGGTTAATGTCATCATCGGTGCCGCGTTAAATCGTTGGATCGAGTCGCTTCACTTTCACGCGCGCCTAGCGAACGCGAAAGTGTCCGAACGGCTCCGCGCGGCGGTGTACGTGTTACGCGCGGAAGCGAAAAAGGGTTTCTCGCACGCTATGATTGGTAGTTTGCGGTCGTCCGCCACGGTTCCCCGCGAGAGACCGGCGATTTGCGCGCTCCCGTACGCTTTATCGGTTCGTTAATCCCCCGTCGATCGAGCGGGCCGCGCGAATAACCGGTGATTTCCTTAATTCCCGTCCGGCCGCCTTTTCCTTTTTCTCTACGCCCCCCTCGCCACCCCTTTATTACGATCATCTTGTCCATCTGCTTGTTTATTCCGCGTCCCACGGCCCGACGGTTCAATTTCTGTTCGATCGCGACATCTGCTGACTCGATCGGCGCCGAGCACCGACCGAACGAGCAACGGAGAGGCCCGGGATCATTGAGGGTTGCGAATCATGGGAGTTTGTTTATCGTACCGATGTCTTCGGGACTTGTTCAGGTATGTGAAAGGCTGATTGATATCTTGGGCTTGTGACTGGTAGTTGAGTCGTCGGTGCTCCGAGGATGATTTCTTTTTCAAACGTGGACTGTTGGTTATTCGGGTTTCGTGGCTCGAGTTCCGATTGACGGAAATTGGGTCAGGGGGAAAGTGGGGTTGCGGATTTGGACTTTGAAGTTTGACGTTTTGAAACTTCATTAGATGGACTCTCGATGGAAATCGAACAAATGGAATTGTACATTACAAAACCTGAGACGTACTAGCTGCATCAAAAGGCAAAAGTTGGTAAGCGGAAACCTGGAAAATGAGAAATCTCACAGGAAAATGGTTTTTAAGTTCTTCAATTTCTTGCTGAATCGACCGAACTTCTTATTGAATGTATAACATATACGAAGAGTAGTGAAATAATTGTTACGAAGAATCTTGACTCTAGTTTTTGCTTTATTAAGAGAACTGTTTCGATTGCACGAGACTTCTAATGGTTATTTACTTAGCAGTCAAAGTGTTAACACATTGCGCACTGGTAACGAGAAATCTCGTTTTTATATAAAGACACTTATTGAAAAAAATATAAAATTTAATTTGAATTGATTATCTATTTAAAATATATTACATAACAATATGATATCTGAGTTTTTCTATGATATAAGTTGACCTCAGTGAAAATTGCCATCCGCACAATTCAGTTTTCTGAAAATTACCCGGTACGCAATGTGTTAATACCGAGGCTGAATATCTACTGACAAGAAACCTGCTAAAACGTGCGTTAATTGTTTCAACTGTTATTTTCTCCGTGAAATCCGTACCGATCCGATTCGCGTCGGTTTACCGTACGCATTCCAACAGAACGAAATTTGCCACGTGTCCAGATGTCCAAAGCCGAAAGAGGCCGAGCCCAGTGCGCTGGAATTTCTGGAAATTGGCTATTTACATGGTCGCCCGCACCTTTCGCCGTAATTTCATTAGCGAGCCACTTCGACGGGGGTCCAGTTACATCGGTTCCCTCGTTGCAAGATGGCGAGAGAGGATTCCGTCGGTGGCATGCACTCCGTTCACGGCGGAGCGGTCGTGTACGCGGCCGCGTACAAGCCGGCCGACACGCCGCCGTTAATTCGATTAATTGCGCGTTTACGTGGGCGACGCGCGCGTGTGCGGTATGCGCACGGCTCGAGTTTCTCTCGGGGTCCACGATCGCGCAGGTGAAACCGAAAATTGCTCGACATTCTGCCCCTGATCGGGGACCCGTGATGATCGCGTCGAACAGTTGATACGCCGAATACAGCCTCCGTACAGATTTCGCGAAACTCGATCTCGTCCATCGTGAACCTGACTCGACGCTATGGGGACGTTGACATGGGGCAGTTGTTTTATTCACGGTAAAATTCACAGACGAGTCGGAATCGTTCGGTTGGAAATATTGTAGGATTACTGGAATTCCAAAGCTTCTATCGAAAGTAAAATAAATTCACAACAATTTTGAAGAGCTGCTCCGTGGGAATGCGATGCATTGTTCTCGATTTTTTGGAAAAAGAAACTTTCTGTTGAGAGAATCTTTATATTTATGAACGATTTGTTTATTTATCTATGAAGCATTCGAGTTAATTTTGAGTTCATAATAGGATATTCTTGACGGTGAGATGCAGATTTCGAATGTCTTTCTGATTTTTATAAGAAATTATAGATAACACTATCGTTCGAAGAGACACTATCTGTGTCAACTGAACTATTTTAAAAAAATTAAATGTAAGAATAAACTGATACACTTCTTAATTTATTTCTGTCGGTTCTACTATCAAGATGCTTTGACGACAAATGTCTTTTTCGGTTGTAAAGTTCAACGTGAACGTTCGATTCGCAATCAGCCGAAGAAATGCGACAACTTTATTTACGTCTAATTAGAGAAATGGTTTTGCTTTCACGATCGCTTCATTCGAGTAACGAACAGCGGTGGATGTCGCAACGGTTCGGAGGAAAGCGGACATTATCGGCTTAGTCACGGAAATGCGGGTTTCGTGTTCGCGTTATCCTAAATAATTCTTATCAGCGACAGCGTGGCACGTGGAACAGTTTGCATTGGTATCATCCTAATTAGAAACGCGGAGGAATCGACCGCGCGCCGAATGAACCCTTTTTGCGGAGTTGGACGCGCGACGACCGGCATTATTCGAATTGGGCCGGCCGCCATGTTGGTTGCGGTATCTCTTTCGGATCTAAAGTAACCCGTGTCACTTTATTTTATCCGAATATTCTGATCTATCTTTCTTCCAACAGAACGATCGTGAAATGCAAATTTTATTGATTGAATTTATACTATACTTCAAAATAACGTGAACGCTTAATAGTTCACGTAGTCTTAGCTGACAGACGATGGCAATAATTTGAAAAGAACCACAATGAAAACTGGAGCGCATTAAAAACTAATTGTACATAAACATTACACTACAGTAAAAATAATAGAAACAAGATGCTGTATATATAATATAAATACAGACGAAAGTATGGACAATAACAACTTGCCACAACAGGTGGATCCATTATCCCAAACAAAAGGGCATTCATCAGCGAAGATACCAGTTAGCCTCCGATTTTTCAGCCCTCCCACTCTGCAGAGCTAAAAAAAGCATCTCTAAACTTCTCTCCTCAACTCCCACGCACTGCTAATCCTCTGCCGTATATCTGCCAATCCCTATCGCGAGCCTTCCACCCCAAACCTGCATGAAGAGGGTAGTTCCCAAGGGTCGCGCGATTACGGAACACTCTAAACTCGTATATTTCGATCGCGTTGCAACCGAAAAACGCTTGGCCCGGGAACGATATCTTAATGAAACGATCTCGCAGCCGAGGATTATCCCAGCAGCCACCCCTCCGACGCCGCAATTAGAGCGGGGGATGGAAATCGAGCCGGATAGAAGTTCGTGACGCGAAATAC